GAGAGAGAGAGAGAGAGAGAGAGAGAGAGAGAGAGAGAGAGAGAGAGAGAGAGAGAGAGAGAGAGAGCGAGAGAGAGAGAGAGTTGTACACTATATGTTCATTTGAGTGTGTTAGTATTGTGACAGATCTTTGCCGCGGTTTTTTATGCAGACGTAGCTCGCGTCACCTGCACCACAGGTGCTAAGCTAGCTTCCTTGAGAAGCTGCAACCCTCATCGTTATCTGGCCAGATATATACATCCGGGCTCAGAAGTAGCCTTCATGGTCAGTCAGTGTATCTGACCTTTCCCGTCAGATCTACACATTTGAGCTCAGAAGTAGCCTTCACTGTGAATGAGTGTATCTGACCTTGTCCGTCAGAGAGAGAGACGCGCCCCCCTCCCCCCCGAACCCCCTCGGCGCCAAAGCTGAATGCGCGCTCAGCCGGGCTCATTGAGCGCGTTTGAGTGGCACTCAAAATTTGAGTGCTGCGTGCGCGCTCAATGAGCGCGCTGTAACACAGCTTCGTTTCGAGGTAGCTATGATTGCGTGGGTCTGGTAGTTAAACATTTGTGTGTCATCCTTGCTCAGGGTCGCGGTAATCTTCTCTGTATCTAATCTTCACTATATCGCTCCAGTTGCTTTTTTTCTTTTACTAGTGCCCAAGGCCAAAAGAATACAATGAAAAAGCTGCAGTTTCAGGGGCCACAAGGTCTCCAGCCTCACACAGCAGGCAGAGTCCCTGCCCTATAGGAAACAAAGGTCAAAGAAAAGGAAACGACAGACAAACAAATGTCAAGGAGAGAAAAAGAAAGGTAAAAACAAAGATCAACCAAAGTATTCTACAGCTCCAATTTCAATGTATGTCCCAAGGGATGGTGGTATTTGTGAAAGATTAAGTGAAAGAAGAATACAGCTTAGTGAGCCTTAGTCAAAAAAGAAAAAAAAGAAAAAAAAAAGGGTACAATTGGGAATATACCCTTATAAGTTATAAGTGGACATATATGCCAAAATGGCACTGAAAGATGTGGATAGGCAGAATGCCTGTTTGAGCCACAATCTTGTGTTATGCCCCCCCAAGGCCAGTGCGCAAATGTGCAATGTGCACCTTGTCTTTTGAGCCTTGGCCTTTTGCAACTCCGCCTTTCAGAAGTTGGCAAATACGGGGACATTTTGCAAAGATGGACAGTACCCGGTAGGGGTATATTGCAAAAATGGGCGGTTCAACCGACACCAGGGTACTTTGCAAATTATCCCAACAAAGAAAACGAAGAGTAAATTAAATGATGTTGTGTCTTTCTGAAGACGAATCAGCTATGGAGGCACGGAGGGAGGAAGGGTGGGGGAACACGAACCCCTACCTGACCCATTGGTAGACCACCCCTGACTCTCAGCTTTCCGTCTGGACTCTCTAGAGAGAGAGAGAGAGAGAGAGAGAGAGAGAGAGAGAGAGAGAGAGAGAGAGAGAGAGAGAGAGAGAGAGAGAGAGTCCAAACGGGAACCTGAGAGACACGGGTGGTATACCAATGGGTCAGGTAGGGGTTCTGACGAATCACAATGCAGCAAAAAGGTCACTTTTTTGAGACGGGTGGCCTCCCAACCGGGCACAGATAGGGGTTCTGACAAGTCCCAATGCAGTAAAAAGGTCACTTTTTTGCGACAGGCAATTACGATTTGCAATGAAAATTCTGTCGAACTGTACTGTTTCTCAAGTAATGGCCAGGGTATGCTGTGTAGATGTACTAGAAAACCACGATCAACAGTCAGTATAGCTGTACTTGATCTGTCTGTGAGTGGGAGCTTGCTTATGTGTGCTATGTGTGTGCTAAGAACGTATACGTTATTGCTGTGCAAGTGGGAGTTTGCCTATGTGGGCTATGTGTGTGCTACACACCTATACTTGATCGGTGTGCAAGTGGGAGCTTGGCTGTGTGTGCTATGTGTGCGCTAAGCACCTTTACTTGATCTCTGTGCAAGTGGGAGTTTGCCTATGTCTACTATGTGTGTGCTAAGTTTGTGCATGTGTGCTATGTGTGAGGATTGAGCCCTCAAAGGGGCCTTGCCGTGGTGTACATGTTCTGGGCCAAGGCCCCCAGCAAGCATCGTGCCCGCCCTAAGTGAAGGCGGGCCAGCAAATCAACAAGAGCCCTCTGTWCAAACATTTCACGAAGTGGGGTCCATACAGTTGC